CTGCGACCCTGTGGCCGGGTCCCGTTCCGCGGTTTCCTCCAGCGCCAGCTCCGTGGTGGTGCCGCTCCGCGCCACCCGCAGCACCAGGCCCTTTCGTGCCTTCCCGCCTCGGGGTGATGTTTGCGCGTTTGGGTGGCGGTCTCAGAGAACGCCCGAAATGGTTTGCGGGTCTTGGGTTTCTTCTTTTAGGAGGCCGTTGACTATATTGTTTTGCCATGGTCCAGGGACGTGCTTGTCAAGTTGGCAATTCAGAAAAAAGCGCAATTAAACCCCTGAATGGAATCATTGCAAAGAAGATGGGGCGACGCTGCTGAGTTCAGACATGCTCAAAGGTCCCTACAGAGGCCTTGCATCTTCTTTTTGTGCTTCTCAGCCCCACCAAAGCAGGAACTCAAGTTGCAGTCGAAGCCACAGGCAATCAGGGCGCCATTCTTTTATTTGCGTGACATGCACGCCAAGGGGCCCAGGGTCCAATTGCAACACGCATCAGATCTACGAATCGTGCCTGGCATCTTCACTGGCTGAAGTGGCCACACCGCCGAGCGCTGCAGATCCGGGATATTGATGCTCTCCGCGCCCACCGTGACCTTCACTGCCTCGGTGCAAATGTCTTCCACGAGATGGACAATGGGTGGGTGGGCGGGCGGGCGGGCGGGCGGGTGGGTGGGCGGGCGGGCGGGAAGGTGGGTGGGTGGGGGGTGGGTGGGCGGGTGTGGGGCCGGGCGTGGGGGCGGGCGTGGGCGGGCGTGGGCGGGCGGGCGGGCGGGCGGGCGGGTGGGTGGGTGGGTGGTTGGGTGGTTGGGATTGGGTGGTTGGGGTTGGGTGGTTGGGGTTGGGTGGTTGGGGTGTGGGTTTGCGCCAGCCCGTGCGATTAATCCCGGCCCAGGTGCGAATGGGCGCCTGACAGCTGTTTCCTTGATTCCTGACTACGAAGTTCTCGAAAGAACGCCCCTCGACCGGCCTATCACAGTGGCTGGCATCCTCCGCAGCCGGTTTTTCGAACAGGCCCCTGCTCGCAACCGTCGCCCGCTCAGTGGCCCCTGGCCTCCTCGCGCTTGAGAAGATGGGGGGTTGGGTGCGTGCATGTGCATGCGTGGGTGCGCGCGCGGCGGACGATGGAGCATCCTGGAATTCTGGTGACTGGGGGGTTCCCCCAGTTACAAGTACGTGCCGGGGGTTCTTGCTTAATCGTTGATTCCCATCCCCCCCAACCCCGTCAACATCAAACACCAATGCAGCCGGCAGGCTCGGCACCGCTTGCCAGCAAAGGGCCTGCACCACCCAATGGGCACCGGCTCGCCGCCTTCGAAGGCGTTTCGACGCAGCAAACACGGCCGACCATTGCCACGAGCTTTCACCCGGCACTTGAGCAACGGGCAAAAGTACTTCAGAAGATTCGGTGGTTTTCGTGGGTAACCCCAATTCAACAAAGGGCTTCCAGTGAATCACTTGGATGCACTGGATGGCGTCAAAACAATTCCGACTGCCTTACAGGCCAGTGTGCCAGGAGTCAAGATATGAGCTCTCCCCAAAAGAAAGGGGAACCTTGACAATCGCAAAGTTCACCGCCTGATGTCCAATTCCAGAACCTGGACATGTGTTCAAATTGGGCACCTCCTTCAAATGGTTGGTTCCATCTGGTTCCAATTTGTTCTACTTGCCACATCCTACACGAAGCATAAAGGCAAGCCTGGCTTGACCTGAATCACATCCTCCTCCTTGCCATCATCTGCCACTGCCTGGAGCTGCATCCTGCAAAGGAAAACAAATGAACCAGCACCGAGAACAGGTGCTACCAGCCAAATGCCCATGCGCCCACCCTGGCTTTCTTGCACATCCAGGCTCCACCAGGAATGGCTATCGCTCAAAAGCAGGCAAACGCCCTGATCCCCTTCCACCTGTGATCCCATGAAAACAACGTGACCCCACCATTTTGAGGTGCCTCTCATGGACCGAGTCAGACAATCCAGTTTCCACCCCGGCACCTTCGGCGGCTGCATATTCCAGAGGCTTTGGTTTGACCCATGAATTCCCCAAAAGGCAGCGTGTTCACAAAACTTGGAACTAGGGCTTCCCGGTCATCTCAGCCCGGCTTACCACCTGTGCCACGGTCAAAATATGCATCTTCTGCAATGGAGATCGATTTTCTTGCGACTCCACCTGATGCTTGTTGGAGATGTAGTGAGCCCCCCATGACCCTTCGAAATTGACCACAAGCTACTGACCGAACCTCTGGGACTATCGCAGTGCGGAAAAGAACAACTCTGTGAGACATCATAACCTGCAAAGTCGCAGTTTCAGCTCGAACGGCTGGCCAAGAGGTCGACAGTTTTGGCTTGAGGGGCTGGCGCTCGAAGTCTCTAAGTCACTGCAGCCGACCAAGGGTTCAAACCCATCCAAAGCAGCAGCCAGAAGTTCCATCCAGCCATTGCGGAATGTTGCAAGGAGTGAGAGAGAAACATCACGCCACCAAAGTGCAACTCGCTTTGGATGGGCCCAAAATTTGTCTTCACCCACCTAAAGTCTTCTCCCCCGCCACGAGCAGTCCTGACCTCACCCTCAGCCTTGTTGCGAGCCACGAAGTCCGAGCCAGCCCGAATGGAGACGCCCATCTTGCCGTACAAGGGCGCCACATCCACACTCCACACCTGCTCCAAACTCCCCAAGGTGTAGCGAAAAACAACCTCACTTAGTAGTATAGGCGAAAAGCCACTCCACTTAAACGCTTCTGGCACAGCGCCACCATTTGAGAGAAATACCCCCAGAGAAGGTTGGAAAATCCAAAGCAGAAATTAGCCCCTGACGTCAAGAAGCCGCCCCAGACGAGGGAGCACATGAATGCTTCGGGCGCAGGGCCATGATTTCAACATGCCAGAGGTTGGTGATTGCACACGGGGCTGGGGTGTCAAAGCAAACATGGCCGTGGCAGTGTGATTCCAGAATCAAAAGCAACAAATCAAACTGATAGGGCCCTGAATCGATACCCTTGCAATTGTCTTCGGCTCGGTTCAACTGTTAAGCCCTCAAACTGCCGAGCCCTTGCAGTGTGTTGGACACCGTTGCGGGCAAAGAAGCAAAATCGCCTCTTGCCACAAATCATCTGGCAAGAAATCTGGACATGGGTCCGTTTTGGCGGTTTGTTTGTTTTTTGGGGGGGTTCTTGGCCGAATCGACCCAGTCCCTGGAACCCGCTGCCCCGCTGCGCGGAGCCCCGCTTCGCGCCTCCACGGCGCCGTTCCGCCGCAGCACGAAGGGCGTGGAGCCCGCGGACCCGTCGCTGCACAGCACCGCCCCCGAGAAGTCCCCGCCGCCCGGGCGGAAGCCTCAGACCACTCGGACCACTGAGTGGAGGGATGGGTTGGTCATGTTGGTCAAGAACGATGGGCTGGTGTGATTCGGGCTTGGCTAGACCGCTTGGAGTGATTGTGGATGCCTGCATTGGATTGGCTGCGAAGGGACTAGTTTGGGTGGCTTGCACTTTCTTGAATTGGTTTGGTTTGAAAAGGTTGGGATTTCTTTGGATTGGATTGTCCTGGGTCGGGATGGGTCGAGTTTGCGAAGGTGAGATGGGCGTGCACAGTCTGTACAAAGGGCGGGTCGTGTCTGAATTGGACTGGGGCTTGGGAAACCTCTCCTGCTACGCGGCAGCTTTTTGTGGGGATTGAATAGACGCAGAGTGTATCTGAATCTTCTTCTGAAAGATTTGCTCCTGGACCCTTCCAGCCTTGCAAAGTTGCCGATGATCTGACTGCTCTTTAATATCAGGAACCCTGATAAGCCTGAAGGCAAAACAAAACGAAGACCACAGGTGCTTGCTGAGTCCTCATATGCCGGAGGATGGATGTTGTCTTGAGCTCCATGGAACTGCTTCGAACCAACTTAGATCGTTTTCTGTCTGATTTGCATTGATTGGCATTGGTTGGGAACGGTTTAGATTGGATCAAGATCTGATTGGTTTAGATTGATTTCGATTCAAGCCGGGGCTTCTTTTTTGCACCCATTTCGGATGGCCCGGTTCCGACCTCTCGTGAAAGCGCCACCTGGCCACTGGCAAGCTTCCAAGCTACGGAAAGTTGTCGCGAGGATGTCGATGCCCTCCGTCTTGGCCTGAGCCACTGCAAAACAAAATCTCCTGGACGACCTGATATTATGAAGCTAGATACGTGATCACCATGCCTTGCAAACTGTCACAGATTCAAACAATGCAGCATCTGGTCAACCGCGGATCTAACTAGCAAGTGCAATCTGTGGGGCATGTGCGGAACAGCCAGTTATCACACTCTTTGAGAATTATACAGACGAAGAAGCTTTGTAAGTCCAAAATTGAACGCGCACCCCTACGCCTGTCTTGCCGTGTGGGATTCTACTAGAAGGAAAAAGCTACAATCATTTTGAACTTCAAGAAGTGCAACTTCCGTCTCGCCTGTGAGTTTGCATACCAGTAGAGCCGGCGAAGCCGGTGGGTGGGTGTTTCTCTTTTGTTTTGCCTTTCTCATTCCTGCCATGTTCTCTTCTTCTTCTTCTTCTTCTTCTTCTTCTTCTTCTTCTTCTTCTTCTTCTTCTTCTTCTTCTTCTTCTTCTTCTTCTTCTTTTTTCCTTCTTTTTACCCATGCTTCGTGGCTGGCGCAGCGCTTGTGCCAGGTAAGGGGCTGATTTCGCGGCAAGCGCGACATTTTTCCAAGGTCGGGTTCACATTCCGTGACTGGCGTCACTTTCAGAGGTCAAGGTGAAAGTTTTGTGCACGCTTCGCTAGCTCGAAAGGGAGAGAAAGAGAAAGAGAAAGCTAAAGAAAAAGAAAAAGAGAAAGAGCAAGAGAAAGCAATGAGTCGTGAAAAATGCACGCGTCCGTGCCAACTGGCCCGCGTCCGAGAGCGCTCCGAGAGCGCTCCAAACGCGCTTCGAACAAGAGTGCTCCGACCAGTCGCGACCCCGTTGGCTTTCGAGCGTCCGAAGGATCTGAAACCCGCAAAGGGTTGCACTTCTTGGATAATCTTATAACTTTGAATTAGTTCCTTTAAGCTTCCTTTGATCAAAACTACCACATCAGGGTGATGCGCCAAGGGCAAGCTCGTTGCATCAGCCAAGACCTTGGAGGCCCTGTAAACCAAAGATCGTCCAGGTATGTGTCAAACAAATAATTTGGAGCAAGACCGCGTCCAAATGCTTGATGTCATGTTGATTGACTGCAAAGGAGGAAACTCCTAGTTTTGACGCACAAACCTTCACTCTGTCTCTCTCTCTCTCTCTCTCTCTGAGCGCCCAGCCGGCACGTCCCAGTGCAACACCCGGGACTCCCGCGCCAGGAGCTTCAGATTCCTGCAGCGAAGGTGGGACTCCAGAAAAAATGGGGAAGAAGCTGATGCGGTTGTTCAAAGTTGGCAACATAGTAAACAAACAAAGCTAAAATGTATCTTATGTGAGCCACGGTCAATATTAGATGTTGGTAAGCAACCCCCATTTCCCAGCGGCAATTCGGTGATTGTACTCAATGTCATTCCCTTGACAACAGTAGATAACGGTAATTATTGAGCGTAGAAATATGTTTATACATAGGGCTGTATGCCCCCATTTTCGTTCGGGGTAATGGCTTGGGGGTAGGAGACATCACCGAAGATTCTGGGGTCAAATGGGCCGATGTGAAGAGTTCAGACTTCTTTCAGGGTGTCATGGTCGGGTCTTGACTGGGTGTGAGTGTTGGGAATTTTGGGTCATCAATGTGTGCTTGTCCTTCAACGGGAGAAACAACCAAAATCACAAATCGGAGGACATGGAATGGCGGCATAGTCAGGAAAGGCGCCTTAAACGCCGAACACTGCAAAACTGTCCACACCCTTCCCAAAGCGTGTCCAAGCTCCAACAGCAACAGACCGCAACAGCCCCCCACAGCCTCTCCATTCGCTCGGCTCGCCTCCTTTCAGGCGTCTCTAGCTCCAACTCCTCATCCGAGGTATTGGTCAACACCAGCCGCGGCATCAACGTGAACTCCATGGACGTCGCGCCGTGCACGCCTGGGTCAAAACGTCGGTGACCCAACAGCTTCCAAGCAAAGCGCATGTCCCATTCCTTGCGTCAGCCGGACTCTGGCGACCGCCACTGGAAGCCGGGTCGCTGGTGCTCTTGACTCTGCCGATGTTGAGGTTCAACGCCAAGCATCCAGACGGCGTGCGCCAAATAAAGGTCTCGAAGTTCGGTGGCAGCTTCCTCGGAAAGTCCACAATGGCCCATGCGAGCGTGTTGAAAGCGGCACTTGCACTTTGTGGCGACAACACCAAAACGCAAACATTTGACAAAAGACTCCCCGTAGCCTGAGAGCATTCAAGGTCACCAAGCGGCGTGCGTCGGTTTATCAGTATGGAGCTCTAGTCTGCTTGCTTTGTAAAGTGGAACATCAAACCGCACAAACACTCAGACAAATTGATGCTACGTCTGCCTTTCCACCATGCCAGGCTTGGTCTTGCTTTGAGAGACAACTGCCCGACGCCATCTTCGTCATTTTTCTCACCCCGCAAAGGGAAAAACCTCTCACCAAAATGGCCCGCGTTAATCGAGCATATTGGTCCCAAAAGGGTAGGGAAATCTGGGGTGCCGGATGCTTCTCTAGTCGCCGCCAGGACACATGGAGTGCTTGGGCAAGCTGCCACGCTCAGAACCTGGTTGCCCGAGCGAGCCGAGAAGCCAGGGAGCTGCCAGGCGTGGTGCATTCGCAGAGGGTCCAAATTCAGGGATCCCTCCAAATAGGGGGGGCGGACCAAAAGATCACCAATCCACACAGCCAGCATGGAACACTGTCCTGTCGGAGGCTGTGTAGCATGAATCTTGCAGCAGCGTATTCTGCTGTGTGTTTTCCTGTTTTAAGTGGCGATTTACCTACAGCATTCTTTTCGGCTGGCCGGTTTGATTGCTGTAAACCTGGTGGGGCCTTGGGCCTTGCACCAAAAGAACACCTCCAAGAGTGCGACGTTCAAACACTTTTTGGTGTACAGTCCGGTTTCGGCTGTTTCTGTGTGTCTGCCAAGCTTGGTTTCAAGTTTTGGGCGTTCGAGAAGCTTGGAGTTTGGAGTTGTAATTTGCCCGCATGCACATGCTTCACTGACGGAGCGTGTGCATGCCAGGCGGCAGCTTTGCCGCTTCAGGCGCCACACAAATTTGCATCCTCCACACTGCTGTCAACGTTAGGGACACCTCCGCCCAATTTGGGGCAAAGGCAAACACACCTGCAGACACTCCATTTAGATCAGCCAAAGGAAGGCGTCGCATGTGACAAGCTGTTGTGACAGTGCCTGAAAAATGATTGAAAAACAACGAAAGCTTCAATCTGCCACCTGTTCCCCTTTCCACGTTCTCGTACTTGCCACTTGGCTTCTTGGGACGTTGGATCCATCCAAATGCGTGGCTTCATCCTATCATTCCAAAATGAACACAGGAACCCTCAGGTTTGACTCATGATTCGCCGAGTCCAAGGCCACAGAAATCGCAGGTCTTCACGCGAGCTGGGGACCCCCACGCAGCACGAGCTCGCAGGAGTTCTCGAAGCAGTCGGCATGAAGCCTTGAAGCTCCGAAATTCTGGCCGTTTGTCAGAATTCAAGCGGGGAGGGAAGAGCCGCTTTTGGTGGCCAAGGGAAGTCAACATTCCAAAATTCCGAAATTGCAGCTTCAGTAGAAACAACGACTCAAGCAGCTGGATGCCAAGGCCGCCATTTGGTGTGAAAGTTGATGTGCTAAAACCAGCCAAAGGGGGATATACTGTGGATGGACAAGAACCTGCACCCGTTGGAATGGATGAAACCCCAGAAGTACTAGATGAACTACCAATTCCAACTGGTGCAAAGCGGAGTTACAGCAGTGTGTTCGCGATCTTGTCGCTAAAGTGCGTTGCGCTGCTGCGCTGCTCGCTGTTGCGCTGCTGGCTTTGCGCTGCTGCACTGTTGCTCGGAGCAACGGAGCAACGGGACAAAGCAGTTTTGCGCGACACGCTTGCGAGCGCTCTGGGATGGGATATAGGTAATATGGATTTGTTTTTTGTTTGGAGGGTACTCAATTTGGGATTGGCCTGGAGGGAAACAAAAAGGAAACAGGCTGTTTGGAGGGCTCCCTTGAAACAAACCAGAACTTTGCTTGCCATGTCAAGTCCGGGCAGCAGTGTCACACCATCCTGGCTTGGGAGCTTGGCGCCACCCACGTGCACCTCGAGCTTCCCCAGGCCCTGCTCCTGGTGCTTTGGCCACAAAGGGGGGGGGTCCTTTGGCTCCCCATTCTTTGGGACCCGAATGGAATGAAAACAAATGGGTTTTGGGAGCCTTTGGTGCAAGCTCTGAGCCCTGTTCGGTCGAACCCGTGTAGGGTTGCATACTCTGAGGAAAGCTACGCTTTTGAGGGGACGAAGGCACGAAGTGCCATCCGGGGTCTGCCGCGACAGACCACGGCGAATTTCAATAGAGGAAATCGGGCCCCGAGGTGGTGAAGCTGATAGTTCAATAGTTTTTTGTGGTCCAGGACTCAAACCAGAAGTTGGACTACAGACCCCTGGCTGCAAGCCGCGGAAAGATACGGCCTGCATGCTCACTCAGTCGAACACACCCAACACTTGTGGAAAAAGAGAAGCCTTCGCCGCCTCTTAGGTGCCCTGTTTGCTCCAGTCCTTCAGGCCGCTGCGGTCCAACAGCCAATATGGGCAGCTGAAACCTGCGCTGCAAAGCGGGCCTTTTGGTCTCCCAGCACTTGACTCGACCGGCACAAACAATCCGGTCGGGCCAACCTTTTGTTTGAACACATGTTGGTAAACAGCCTCTTTTCCGGTTTGAAAAAGAACCGGGATCTGGGTGATCCGCCACAACCTCCCCCCAACCTCTCTTTCCAACCCCCAACCCTCCCCAAATTCCCCAACCTCCCCCAAACCTCTCCGATTTCACCTTCCTCGGCCAAGGCACGAATCCGGCCGTAGCCCAGGCACTCCAACTCCACCGCCGCCGGGGCGCCGGCCGACTTCTCCCGCACCTCCAGGACCTTGGCCTGGCGGGGGCTTTCAAATGGGTGTTACTTTTTGGGCTTTCAACATCAAAGACTAAAACTCACTTCCTCACGAAGGGATTCTAAAGTTTTAAAAAAAAAAAAAAAAAAAAAAAAAAAAAAAAAAATGTGTTTTCCTATCAGAACAGCTACTTCTCAAGTCTTTAATAACTTGCTGGTCAAATCAACTTGAGATGTACCGTCATGGACAGACCAAGACTTCGGGATCCATTTCAATGAATCGAGGATTTTCAAGGAATGATTCCTAGAGTAAGAAAATTCAGAAGTCAACGCAAAAATATGCTGGAAGAACAGGCGTTGGCTTTGTTAGGCAAAGGAAACCCTTGTCCCAATTTTTTGAGACAAACCTGAAGACGGCTGGCCCAGCGAGTTCCGTTTGGGTTGCTCAAAAAAGTAGAAATATGCTTCCCATTCTCCGAGACGAGCCAGGACACCTTGGCAGACCAACCAACCCGCCCGCTTCCCAAAGCCTTCCGACCTACGGCCCGACGCTGCACCCTCAACCTGGCTGAAGCCGCCCCAAAGCACATGTCCCTTGAAGACAGCGCGTAGGTTCGGTAACCTTCTTGACCAGTGGATGCTGGGAGCTTTGTGACACTCGTACGCACCCGGAAAATGCAGGCCACCATTGCTTTCAAGCAGATTGATGGCCCCTTCCAAGCCCAAATGAAGGCATGTGTTGCTATTATTGAAGCACACGCATTTGTTGCTTCAAAGATCTCACATCATTCGCATGGACAATCAACGAGCCACTTCATGAGCAAGGATGGGCGTTGAGTGAAAACTGATTGCGCAAACCAAGGGTAGAGGTACTCTGTAGAATTTGGGTCCATGCACCCCCAAGGAGCTGTCAGCTTCAGCAGGCCTCATCTCCTTGCACACTGCTGTCGCGCTCAACCACGTCGCTGCCCTCCAAAGCCACCTGCGGGATAGCCAGGATAGCAGTGATTGGAAGGAAAGACGCTCAGGTCTTACCGCCACGGCAGCCTCCGGCAATGCTCCCAACCAGCTTCTACCGTCTCGAACATGGGACCTCCTGAGCCCAATTGTTTCTGAGGAAAGGTTAGTAAAGTGCCGTCTCAACAGCACCGCACAAGAGCATGTGACTCATCCCTGACTCGGGCGGGCTGTTTGCCACCTTTGCACCGATTTTGTTTCTGAAGAGCAAGTCTTGCTCGTTTTGCAAACTCCATGGATTTCAAGACTAGCAGCCCTGCGGAAAGCAAACACAAGCCCGGGTATGTGTGCCCTGGAAAAAGCCTTGACGTTGGGCACCACACAGTGATCTTGACCGTGCTGACCCAAAAGTATCAGCTGAAAGGCAAATGGAGATCTAAGTAGGTGTTTGAAAACATTGTACATGTGTGTGTGTGTACAAGAAACACGACGCTAGGAGTAGCACCGGTTCGGACCACTCGCTAGGACACAGAGCTGTCATAGCCACAGGGCAATGCTACCCAAAAGCGCGAAGCATCCAGGAAAGAAAGAGACGGCATCGCCATCTCGCGGACTTTGCATCGCAACCAGTGACGAGACAGACACGGTCATCACAGTTCGAACGGCAGAAATCGGCGAGCAACCGCCATGAGTGATCTTTCTTTCTCTCTCGACTACCACTCTTGGTTTTGGTGGCTTCCGCTCAAGTCGCCATCCGTCACGGCTCCAGCAAAAAGCTGGCTGACCCCCTCTACTTGGCCAGGTCTGGCCTTCGCACTCCATGGTGCCTCTGGGGTCAACCGACAGCCCAACTGCAAGCCACCGCCTCAGTCGGCTAGACGTCCGCTCTTTCAGATCCTTCGTAGGTCCCTTCACGGTAGCTAATAGTTGCTAATGCATTCTCTCTTTCGCAATGCATTCTCCATTGAATTGACAGAGTGGCCTGCCTCTGGTTTTAGAAAATGAGGAGGGCTCCAGATGAAAACAGAAGGCCATGTCTCAAAGTGGGAAGCAGCTTCTTGTCTTAGAAAGGGAGGAAGTGTCCAGAACCCGTTTTGTTTGATCCATGATTGTCTCTTGAATGTTCCTGTTTCGATTGGAACAGGATCCGGCTTGATTGGAACAGGATCCGGCTTGGAACCAGCCAACCTTGCACATCCAAACTGCCCCAGTCAAGAATTGGCCTGTCACGCCTGCCAACAAGCTTGCGAGTCAAGGTGGAGCATGCGCATGCGGAGGCTTGGTGTATGTAGGCACGCCGCCCTTAAGCGTCTCGAAACGGGGAGTTGCCGGCGTCTCTTGCGTCCCTTCTGGTGACACTTTTGCAGAATTTGTAAAGCTTCTGGGGCAAAAATCCGCAGCCCGGCTAAATGAAAAAAGTGTTCAATTGCTCGAGAAAGCGTCAGTGCTGTCCAAGTTTTGTTGGCATGCAGTGCACGTTCGAAATGCAATACTTAGATAAAAGAAGATTGGCCTTCCGAGGCTTGCCAAGACTCATCAGAGGGACTGGGTCCCTGTTTGGCAACGTGGAAGCATATCGCGCAGCTCTGAGCCTCTCCAAGTATGTAACCCTTCTAGAATTGATCTTGATCAACATGAGCGACTTAGCAGACCACTGGGTTCTTGGCCATGGCAGGCTTTGCGCACGCAGGCTGTACCCCAGCTAACCTGTAACCTCACTCAAAGAGTACCTGACGCGCGGGGGTACCTGACGCGCGGAGGCTGGAGGCGGGGGGGGGGGGGGTGGGTAAGGCGGTTAGTTACTTAGTTAGTTAGTTAGTTAGTTAGTTAGTTACTTAGTTACTTAGTTACTTAGTTACTTAGTTAGTTAAGTTAGTTAGTTAGCTAATTGGTTAGTTAGTTAGTTAGTCAGTCAGTTAGTGACGTAGTTAGTGACGTAGGTAGTTAGCTAGCTTGTGTAACCTCACTGAAAGAGTACCTGACGCGCGAGGGTACCTGACGCGCGGAGGCTGGAGGCGGGGGGGGAGGAGGAAGGCGGTTAGTTAGTTAGGTAGTTAGTTAGTTAGTTACTTAGTTACTCAGCTAGTTAGTTAAGTTAGTTAATTAGTTAGTTAGTTTGTTTGTTAGTTAGTTAGGTAGTTAGTCAGTTAGTGACGTAGCTAGTGACGTAGTTAGTTAGGTAGCTTGGTAGCGCACTTGGTTGGTTAGCTGCCGCACGGCCTCGGGAAAAATATGTCACGCGCATAATCGAGTTTCACGGTACCTGACGCACGGAAAGGGGGTACCTGACGCGCGGGAGGAGGGAGGTGCCTAAAGGGTGGGATGTTGAGAGCAAGTGCCTGACGCGCGGGATCGCCGCGGACCTGTAACCTCACTTAAAGAGTACCTGACGCGCGGGGGTACCTGACGCGCGGAGGCTGGAGGCGGGGGGGGGAGGGGTAAGGCGGTTAGTTGGTTTATTAGTTATTATGTCTAGTTAGTTTAGTTAGTTAGTTTAGTTCGTAGTTGGTGTTACGTAGCTTGGTACCTTACTATGGTTGGTTATCTACCGCCAACGGCTGGGAAAGAGTACATCAAGGCGGGATCCATATCGCGCAAACCTACGCGGCAAAGGGTACCTGAACCGCGCGAGAAAAAGGGAGGTGCCCAACGCGCTGAATTAAGCAGGCCCTGACCCGCATAGCCCCGGACCTGACGCGCAAGGCTGGAAGAGAGGGGGGGTTGGTGTTAGTTAGTTAAATTAGCTAGCTAGCTAGATAGGCTGGTTAGTTTTAATGATCAGTTAAGCAGTAGTTCTATAGTGTTACTGGTTCGTAACCTAACCTCTAACCTCACTCAAAGAGTACCGGACGCGCGGAGGTACCTAACGTGCGGATGCTGGGGGGGCTAAGGCGGTTAGGTAGTTAGTTAGTCAGTTAGTTAGTTAACTAATTGGTTAGTTAGTTAGTTAGTACGTTAGTTAGTTAATTAGTTTTACTTGTTTTTTGTTGCTCCATGGGCTTGGGAAAAAGTACATCGCGTTTGGCGGTACCTGACGCGCGGAAAGGGTACCTGGCGCGCGGCAGGAGGGAGGTAGCTAACGCGCGGGATCGTGAGAGCAGGCGCCTGACGCGCGGGATCGCCGCGGACCTGACGCGCAAAGGCTGGAGAGGAGAGGGGGGTTGGTTAATGAGTTAGTTAGTAAGCTAGCTAGCTAGCTAACTAGTTAGTTAGCAAATTGATTAATTAGCTGGATAGGAAATTCGAAAGTCAAAGGAAGTGAGTTAGTACCTAACCTGTAACATCGCTCAAACTCAAGAGTACCTGACGCGCGGGGGTGCCTGACGCACGAAGAGGCGGAGGGGAAGGCGGCTAGTTAGTTAGTTAGCTGGTTAGTTAGTTGTTAGTTAGTTGTTAGTTAGTTAGTCCGCGCGTCAGCTACTATTTTCCTTCCGCACGTCAGGCACCCCCAATCCCCATCCGCGCACTCCCGGTCCGCGCGTTCTATGGCTACTGGTTCGTACCTAACCTCTAACCTCACTCGAAGAGTGCCGGACACGCGGAGGTACCTAATGTGCGGATGCTGGGGGGGGGAGGTTAGTTAGTTAGATAGTCAGTTAGTTAGTTAGTTAGTTAGTTAGTTAGGTAATTGGTAAGTTAGCTAGTTAGTTAGTTAGTTAGTTAGTTAATTAGTTAGTTAATTCGTTTTACTTGTTTTTAGTTGCCCCACGGGCTGGGGAAAAAAGTACGTCGCATGCGGGATTGAGTTTGGCGGTACCTGACGCGCGGAAAGGGTACCTGACGCGCGGCAGGAGGGAGGTACCTAACGCGCGGGATCGTGAGAGCAGGCGCCTGACGCGCGGGATCGCCGCGGACCTGACGCGCAAAGGCTGTAGAGGAGAGGGGGGTTGGTTTTTGAGTTGGTTAGTTGGTTAGCTAGCTAGCTAGTTAGTTAGCTAACTAATGAGTTACCTGGATAAGTAGTTCGAAAGTTACTAAGGTAGTGAGATAGTCAGTTAGTGAGTTAGTACCTAACCTGTAACCTCACTCAAACTCAAGAGTACCTGACGCGCGGGGGTACCTGACGCTAGAGGCGGAGGGGGGGGAGGAAGGCGGCTAGTTAGTTAGTTAGTTAGTTAGTTAGTTAGTTAGCTAGCTAGCTAGTTGGTTAGTTAAATAGTTAGTTAGTTAGTTATTAGTTAGTTAGTTTGTTAGTTAGTTAGTTAGTTAGTTATTTAGTTAGTTAGTTAGTAGTTAGTTAGCTAGTTATTTGATGAGTTAGTGACGTAGTTGTTCCTTACTTGGTTGGTTAGTTGCCGCACGGGCTGGGGAAAAGTATCGCGGTACCTGACGCGCGGGAGGAGGGAGGTGCCTAAAGGGTGGGATGTTGAGAGCAAGTGCCTGACGCGCGGGATCGCCGCGGACCTGTAACCTCACTTAAAGAGTACCTGACGCGCGGGGGTACCTGACGCGCGGAGGCTGGAGGCGGGGGGGGGAGGGGTAAGGCGGTTAGTTGGTTAGTTAGTTAGTTAGTTAGTTGCGTAGTTGGTTAGGTAGCTTGGTAGCTTACTTGGTTGGTTAGCTACCGCACGGCTGGGAAAAGAGTACATCAAGTGCGGGATCCAGTTTCGCGGCACCTGACGCGCGGAAAGGGGGTACCTGACGCGCGGGAGGAGGGAGGTGCCCAACGCGCAGGAGATTGAGAGCAGGCGCCTGACGCGCGGCATAGCCGCGGACCTGACGCGCAAAGGCTGGAGAGGAGGGGGGGGTTGGTGGTTAGTTAGTTAATTAGCTAGCTAGCTAGATAGCTGGTTAGTTTGTTAATGAGTCAGTTAGTAGGTAGTTCTATAGTTACTGGTTTGTACCTAACCTCTAACCTCACTCAAAGAGTACCGGACGCGCGGAGGTACCTAACGTGCGGATGCTGGGGGGGCTAAGGCGGTTAGTTAGTTAGTTAGTCAGTTAGTTAGTTAACTAATTGGTTAGTTAGTTAGTTAGTACGTTAGTTAGTTAATTAGTTTTACTTGTTTTTTGTCGCTCCATGGGCTTGGGAAAAAATACATCGCGTTTGGCGGTACCTGACGCGCGGAAAGGGTACCTGGCGCGCGGCAGGAGGGAGGTAGCTAACGCGCGGGATCGTGAGAGCAGGCGCCTGACGCGCGGGATCGCCGCGGACCTGACGCGCAAAGGCTGGAGAGGAGAGGGGGGTTGGTTAATGAGTTAGTTAGTTAGCTAGCTAGCTAGCTAACTAGTTAGTTAGCAAATTGATTAATTAGCTGGATAGGAAATTCGAAAGTCAAAGGAAGTGAGTTAGTACCTAACCTGTAACCTCGCTCAAACTCAAGAGTACCTGACGCGCGGGGGTGCCTGACGCACGAAGAGGCGGAGGGGGCGGCTAGTTAGTTAGTTAGTTAGTTAGTTAGTTAGTTAGTTAGTTAGTTAGTTAGTTAGTTAGTTAGTTAGTTAGTTGTTAGTTAGTTGTTTGTTAGTTAGTCCGCGCGTCAGCTACTATTTTCCTTCCGCACGTCAGGCACCCCCAATCCCCATCCGCGCACTCGCGGTCCGCGCGTTCTATGGTTACTGGTTCGTGCCTAACCTCTAGCCTCACTCTAAGAGTGCCGGACACGCGGAGGTACCTAATGTGCGGATGCTGGGGGGGGGAGGTTAGTTAGTTAGATAGTCAGTTAGTTAGTTAGTTAGTTAGGTAATTGGTAAGTTAGCTAGTTAGTTAGTTAGTTAGTTAATTAGTTAGTTAATTCGTTTTACTTGTTTTTAGTCCCACGGGCTGGGGGAAAAAGTACGTCGCATGCGGGATTGAGTTTGGCGGTACCTGACGCGCGGAAAGGGTACCTGACGCGCGGCAGGAGGGAGGTACCTAACGCGCGG